TTGCTTTGACAGATAACTCTTTGATTGCGCGATCTCTTGGTAAATTCAGCATCATCTGCATGGAGGATCTGATTCATGAAATCTATGCTGTTGGAAAATGCTTCAAAGAAGCAAATGACTTCCCATGGCCCTTCAAATTATCTTCTCCACGAGGTGGAATGAAGGAAAAGATCACCCATTTGTAGAAGGTGGAGATGCTGGCAACAGGGAAGACCAGATCAACAGACTTATTAGAAGGATGAACTAAGGTATCCACCATGATTGTTTTTGTAACCTGGTCGGTAAATAAACAGTGGCTGTTTTCAGACTGAAAAAACAACAACAGCAACAACAAAAACAAACAAACAAACAAAAAAACACATGTATGCATATACGCCCAAAATCCTGAAAAGTGGAGAAATGGAGAAGGGATTGTAGTGACCATGTCCCACTGGGATGTGCTTTCTCCCTCTTCCTCTCTGTTTCTCTGTGTCTGTTGAGTGGGTGAATGCACATGTTCTTTGGCAAATTTTTTTAAAAAATGCAAATTTTTAAAAAAGTTATTTTCGGGAACCAGCAGTTAGCATAATGGCTATGTCGCTGGACTCCCACGTAGTCGACCGCAGTTTGCGTCCTGGACCCGGTGGCTTAAAACTCACGCCAGGCGCGTGTGCGTGCGTGCCCAAGATCCCAAGAGGAGAATGGAGGAGAAGGGATCGCGGCGTGACCATCCCCTCTGGGGGGTGATTTCTCGCTTTCTGTCTCTATGCTTTCTGTCTCTATGTCTCTCTCTGTCTGTCTGGCGAGCGCATGCGCCCTGTAGCAAAAACCTCTCCAAAAAAAAAAAAAAAGTTATTTTCAACTTACTTTACTCCAGTCACTCCCATGAGGTTCCTTGGCCCTTCTGCTTATGTATCCTGTGTAATTTTTGTCCTGCTCAAGACCCTTCTCCTCCTCTCTCCTCTGCACTCCTGTTTCATGTCCTACTTTGGGCACGAAAGTCTGGGGATAAGTCTGGGGACACACGGCCCCAATCCCTCCAAGCAAATGGGCTCCTGGCCGAGAGTGCCCTCTTGCTTCCTCCAGTATATATATTTTATATATATATATATTTTTTTTTTTTTTGAGAGGTTTTTGGTATAGGGTGCATGCGCTCGCCAGAGAGACAGAGACAGAAAGCGAGAAATCACCATACCGCAATTCCTTCTCTCGGGATCTTGGGCAGGCGTGCACATGCGCCCTGCGTGAGTTTAAGCCACCGGGTCCAGACTCAAACTGTGGTCTACTACATGGGAGTCCAGCGACATAGCCATTACACCAACTACTGGTCCCATCCTCCAGTGTCTTGAGGGCCTCATCCTGTACCTTTTCTCCCCGTCACCCAGCATGCTCAGCTCTGCCTCACCTTCCCTCATTTCAGGAGTCACGACAGACCTGGCTGGCTGAGTTGATCATGTGACTAGCAGTGTCAATTTACCCTGACCTTCTGGTCAAATAGGCCAAATGTATATGCTGGTTTCTCCTCTCAAGAACCCCTGCCCTCAGATGAACTGAATTGGTGGACCCTGCATGTTTTAAACTACAATGTAGGGGTAACTGCAATTTATGATTTTTAAAAATTTTTATTTTTTATTAATTTATTTATTTTACATGCTTTCACTGAACATCACCACAGCATACAAAATGAGATCTTCCAGCCAGAATACACTGTAAAGTAGCTTAATCATACATATTATCATCAACAAATAATTTTCCATTTCTTGTTTCATACATATATATTCACCCCTATTTCTCACCCTCTGCCATTTCCCATCCTCCTCCCACCCTGTCTCTGGTTTCTGCAGTTGCTTTCCATTCCTTTATTCGTTCCCACACTGTATTGATTCACAAAATCTCTTAATTAATCTAAATACTTTCAATAGTAAGTTCAGCTGATATATACATATCTGTGAATAAAAGTTGACTTTAGGCAGGAAACTGGGGGTAGAATGAATATACTATAAAATAGCACATAGCTGAAGCTATATAGCTTACTATGGTTATTTTTTAAATAGTTATTTTTTAAATACATTTTTTAATTTGACGAAAGGCAGTTTTAACTTTAATACATCAAAATCAAAAAATGTTAAGAGAACTTTGCTTAATACTTAAAGCCAGGAAACAGGTTAGGATTCTGTTAGAATAGTTACATGAACCCGTCCACAACTCAAGAAAAGACAAAACTCCTTAACACTGGAAAACAAACCATAGATGATTCTTTTGCTCCATGTTATCCACTCCAATGTATAGGATGGGGTCTCTAACCCCTGAGTCAGTGACTGGTATTAGGGGTACCACCATATACTGACAAGAGTGGCAATAAATTGACCATGCTTGAATCATCCTGAAACTATTCCCCTACCCCAAAACCTTCAGTTTGTGGAAAAATTGTCTTCCAGGAAACCAGGCCCTGGTGTCAAAAAGGCTGGGGGTTACTGATGGGAAACGGCCATGTGGTATTTCTGAAACTCTCATACAGCTCAGATGTTTTTCATCAGAAGTCAAAAATAAAATCAAACGGGTTCGTAATAATACATTCCAAATGTTTTTACGTTGCTTTCCTTTCTCAAAATTCCAAATAACGTTAATCAGCTGAATGGCACCTGTACACGAGGAAAATACCATTCCTTTGTCACCAAATGCACATACACAGACTCAGTCAATCCATGGTAAAAACAAACCAACGCGAAAATACGTAGAACTCTCATGGTGTCACTGCTCTGTGGCCACTGAATCAAACACACCCTGGGAAAAGTAATTACGTGTTTCTTTACTGAAAAGTCTTCCATGCTATGATTGTAGCCCAAATTACCAGTTCAGTTAGACTGGATGAACGCAGAAAGGAAAAACTTGCTTTTATAACATCATTTACATGATTTTTTTCAGAAGCAAATGAACATTAAACTTGCTTGCTTTAGATATGGCAATACTTGTCTGGCAGCTGGTACGCTGGAAAGTCTAAGCAAATACTTTATAAAATAATGAATCATCTTTTAAAATGTAATCAGATTTATGTAATGTTCCTAATTATTTTTTTTTTTTTTACACAGCAGTATATCAGTTTGGAGTCCAGTTGAGATCAAAAAGCTGTCTTCTCACTCATGAAGAACTGAAGTACTAGAGAAAAAGAAAAGAAAAAGGGAATTTTTATAAAACAAGGTATCCACATTTCACAACTTTTATGTTGGAAGAAAAATAAATAGTTGAAAATTGCACTGGTAAATTTTGTATCTACAAATATTTGGGGAGTTGTTCTCCCTTGGGCTCTTGTCTTTATCTACAAAATAAGAAGCTGGATAAGATCAGAGGTTCTCAAACATTTTAGTGGAGGTTTAAAATGTTAGGGGAGGGAGCCAGCAGGTGGTGTGGTAGTTAAGGTGCTGGACTCCCACATTGCTAACTGTGGTTCGAGTCCAGGACCTGGCAGCTTGCTTTCTCAGTTTTTCACTCTCTCTCTGTCTCTTTGGTGAATGCAATGCCCTATAGCAAATTTAAAAATAAAAATAATAAAGAAGTGCAATTCAATAAATAATTCTTTTTTTGGGGAGAGGTTTTTGCTATAGGGTACGTGCGCTCGCTAGACAGACAGAGAAAGACAGAGAGACAGAAAGTGAGAAATCACCCCCCAGGGAGGATGGCCACGCCACAATCCCTTCTCCTCCATTCTCCTCTCAGGATCTTGGGCATGTACACACACGTGCCCGGCAAGAGTTTAAGCCACCAGGTCTGGCACTTAAACCACGGTCGACTACGTGGGAGTCCAGCGACATAGCCATTACACTAACTGCTGGTCTCTCAATAAATAATTCTTTAAAAAATGTCACGGGAATGTACACAGACAATTTTAGTGTAGTATAAATTTGCTTTATAAGGTTAATGTTTAATACTTACAAAGCAAATATACAAGAGCAATTATGCTTCTTTGAAGAATGTAAAAATTTGAAATTACAGGTAGAAGATGACAGTTACAGATACAAAACGTAACTTTTATCTGCACTTTGTCTTGATTGCATGAGCACTGAGAAAACTTTGACACACACAAATAGTTGTAAGAGGTAAAGTGGCCAGAAGTTTTGTTTGCTCACTTTTAAAATCTGTTTAGCAAAATGAAGATGGTCTTTATTTTAATATCTGTACAAAAGCTTGACAAGCCAATTCATTCACCACAGATATTCACTTAGTATTTAGCATATCTGAGAATGCGTGTGTGTACATGTCTGTATGTGCATGTGTGTATCTGGCAATTCTTTATTGAGTACTATGTGTCAGGCACAAAGCTATGTACATATTACATGCTTTACTTTATATAGCAATTAAGAGTGGCTTTGCTGTCATACCCACGCCTAACTTTTTTTTTTTTTTTTTGGAGAGGTTTTTCACTATAGGGCGTGTACGCTCACCAGACAGACAGAGACATAGAGACAGAAAGCGAGAAATCACCCCCCAGGGGGAATGGTCACGCCGCAATCCCTTCTCCTCCATTCTCCTCTCGGGATCTTGGGCACGCACACACACGTGCCCGGCGTGAGTTTTAAGCCACCGGGTCCAGGACGCGAACTGTGGTCGACTACATGGGAGTCCAGCGACATAGCCGTTACGCTAACTGCTGGTTCCCCACCCACGCCTAACTTTAATACTTGGAAAGAGAACAATAGAGACAGAATAATTTAGGAACTCAAGTAATTCTGCCCCACAGCATGTGTGTGTGTGTGTGTGTGTGTGTGTGTGAGAGAGAGAGAGAGAGAGAGAGAGGTAGGGTCTCAGTATTTTGTAGTCTATATTTTAAGTAGCAGTGCAAAATTGTATCAGTTGAAACTCAGGAATACAAAAAGACAATGCTTCCAAATAGCACTAGTTAATTATGAATACAGTAAGCAATAGGTTTCAACTTGGCATTGTGATGTAAGTGATTCTCAAATGAGTTAGGGAGTAGAATGTTTAAAATATCTTAATCCACTGCATTCTTATTTTAAATTTTATTTTAAAATGAAAAGTAAAACTGCCAGTAAGCTTCTCAAGCCATGCATGTTTAGTGCTAAAGGATTAAAATGCTGGATAGGATATACTGGTTTAAAAATGAAATTTGATTTAAACATTCATACAGTCCTTAGGGTCCAAAGAACATGGTTTGAAAACTCCTGGACTGGCTTTTTATTTTCTCAGAGAGATTTTTGCTATAAGGCACGTGTGCTCTGCCAAAGAGACAGACAGAGACATGGGAAGTGAGAAATCATCCCTCCCCCCGCCCCCCACTAGGACAGATGGCCACACTAGAGTCCCTTCTCCTCCATTCTCCTCTTGGGATCTTAGGCACACGTGCACATGTGCCCGTTGTGAGTTTTAAGCCGCTGGGACCGGGATTCAGACTATGTGGGAGTAGTCCAGCAATGTAACCAATACTCCACTTGCTGGTTCCAGCTATTTTTATTTTTTGGTGTTTTTGAGTAATTATCTTTAGTTTATTGATCTTACCTTTCAGGAAATGATAGCAGTATTATGCTATAGGAATAGACCAAGGTTTAAATGTCTTAGGATCATCTCTTGGAATCTAAGAAAGAAAAATTAAACACTTAGTATGTCATAATACCATTGCTATAGTATCAGAAAAATCATGTAAAATATTTTGTTTTTGAAATATTTCCTGATGGGAGGAGCCAGGGTTTCCCTGGTTCCTGGGAATGGGATTATGCCATTCCTTTATATATATGAGATTATTTTGCTATGGGTACATACACTCAGCAGAGAGACAGAGAGACAGAAAGCAAGAAATCACCCCCCAGGGAGGATGGCCACACCTCAATTCCTTCTTGGGATTTTGGGCACACATGCACACACATTCAGTGTGAGTTTCAAGCCTTCGGATCTGAGATTTGAACCACAGTTGACTATGTGGGAGTCCAGCAATGTAATCATTATGCCATCTGCTGGTTCCAGAATTATTTAATTTTATTTATTAATGTTATTTAATTTTTGCTATAGAGCAGATGAGTTCAGAGAGCATGGCCTTGACGTAATCCCTTCTCCTCCACTCTCCTCCTGGGATTTTGGGCATGCATGCACAGGCGTCTGGTGTGATTTTCAAGTCTTCAGGTCTGGGACTTGAACTGAGATCAGCTATATGGGAGTCTAGCACTTAAACCACCTGCTAGCCCCCAGGTGTGTTTTTTAAAATTACTACTCTACAATAATTTAAGATGAAGGGACCAGCAGTTGGCATAGTGGATATGTTGCTAGACTCCTATGTAGTTGACTGTGGTTTGAAACTCAGACCCAGTGGCTCAAACTCATGCCAGGCGCGTATGTGTGTTTGCCCAAGATCCCAAAAGGAGAATGGAGGAGATGGATTGTGGCGTGACCATTCCCCCAGGGGGTGATTTATCGCTTTCTGTCTCTCTGTTTCTCTTTCTTTCTTGCGAGCACATGCACCCAACAGCAAAAATTTCTCCTCCCCCCAAAAAATGAAGATGTAATTTTAAATATATCTACTTTTTGTTGTTACTTGTTTAAAAAGAGAAACAAATTCTCACAGTTATTTATTTAATATGATTTAGTAAACATATCAATGCAACTTATTCTTATATGACTGCACCATTGGAATTAAACATGTGTATGTTAATACTTTTGGGTTGTTTTAGATATTTTTATTAGATATTAGATTTGAATGAAAAAACTTTCTTTCTTTCTTTTCTTTGAATTTATTATGTGGTTTTCTCTCCCAGAATGATTTTAGTTTCCCTTTTGTTTCCCAAAATGTATGCAGAAAGGCAGAAGTTTAATTTCCAGAGAGAGAGAGACACACAGAGACAGTGAGAGAGAAAATGAGAAATCACTCCCCAGGTGGGAGTAGCCACATTACAATCCCTTCTCTTCTGTTTTCTTCCTGGGATCTTCGGCACGCATGCACATGTGCCCAGCGTGAGTTTTAAGCCACCAGGTCTGGGACTCGAACTGCGGTCAGCCATGTGGGAATCCAGTGACATACGTGCGACGTCATCTGCTGGCCCCCAAAGCATGTTTCTTCTTAACAGTATATATTTTCCAGGGAGATTTGTGACCATTCTCCAATGGCTTCAGTATTTTGCAGTTTTCCAGTTTTAGTCTCCCCAGTAGCTATATATATATATATAACTGGTTACATGTTGGATTAATAGTTAGGCAGTTTGTCATCTAAGCTCATGGTCAAGTTTAGTTTGCACTGGCGCCAATAGACCTGGACTCCACCATAGAGGTATGATCCCAACCCTCTCTGCACCTTTAGACAACTGTTTTGCATGTCATTATGCTCTTGCTAGTTAAACCCTAGGCTCATTTCACTATCCTAGGCTAAAGGCCTAATATTTGACTTAGCTTCTTCCTTGTGGTCCTCAATATTTGTTGCTTCTGTAGACAATTCTCCCCCTTTGGTTTAACCCCAAAACATTTCTCTTCTCCCCTCTTGTCATGTTTTTGTTTGAAGGGTTGACTTTAAGTTATAAATGTATTAAAAACCAAAACAGGGGCCACTCCTTGGGCACAGTTGTTAGGCCTTGTGCACAGGAGGCCCACATAGTCACTGAGTACACATGCGTGTGCCCAGGATCCTGACAGGATGGAAAATTGGAGGAAAAAGCATTACAGTATAATCAGGCCCCATTAGGGGGGTGCTTCTCTTTCTCCTATTCCCAGGCACAAAACAAAAACAAACCGCCTCCCAATGGTGGAAAGTTGTGAAGATTCCAAACAGCTTTCTCTTTCTTCTAATATTTATTTATTTCACCCCCCCCCACACACACACACAAAGACTAAAAAATTCACCTAAATCCTACCACTCAGGATATCTTTTTATAGTCGCTGTTCCTTCCCGCTCCTTATTCCGGATATCCTGTTCCTACTATTTGCTCTCAGTCTGCACTGAAATATAAATGGAGGCCTCTGTTTCTCCTTCTCAAAGGGCCTTTCCTCATTCTCCTCTTACCTGCTCCTCTGGGACCTGCTTAGCCATCCATCTTCCTAAGAATCAGCCTGCTCTACCTAGGCTGGCTTGGATACTGGACAAAGCTCCTCAGTCTAGTCTGAAGTAGATTCAGGTCAACTCTTGTTACAGGTGATGAGACTTTTCAGTCTTGTCCAAAACCTCCTTCCTGTTCTTTTTACCAGGTCTTGGCTCCTAGGATACCCTTCTGTTTTGAGGCTTAGATCAACATTCGTTCTCCTGACTCCTCTTCCTTCTTGGTCTCATCTACTCCCTAGCTTCATTGGGTGAGGACACAACTTTCTTTTTTGGTCTCAAAAATCCAAGCCCTAGGACTTAAACTACTATCCATATTGATCTTTGCTGATCTTTCTTCCCTATTTTACCATCTCCTTTGCTTCGTGCCATCTTCCTTCTCCATTCTCATTTTCCTCCCCAGTTGATTCTTTTTTTTTTTTTTTAGAGGTTTTTGCTATAGGGCACATGCACTAACCAGAGAAACAGAGAGAGACAGAGAGACAGAAAGCAAGAAATCGCCCCCCAGGGGGGATGGCCATGTTGCAATCCCTTCTCCTCCATTCTCCTTTTGGGATCCTGGGCACGCATGCACATGCACCCAGAGTAAGTCCAAGCCACCGGGTCCGGGACTCGAGCTGCGGTCGACCACATGGGAGTTCAGTGACATAGCCATTACGCTAACTGCTGCCCCCCCCAGTTGATTCTTTTTTAAGAAAGATTTTTGCTATAGGGTGTATGTGCTTGCTGGAGAGACAGAGAGAGACAGAGAGATAGAAAGCGAGAAGTCACTCCTCAGATGGATAGCCATGCCACAATCCTTTCTCCTTCAGTCTCTCAGGATTTTGGCCATGCACACATACATGCCTGCCCTTAGTTTTCTTTCTTTTATTTTTTAAAGAGAGATTGTTTTGCTATAGGACACATATGCTTACTAGAGAGACAGAGAAACAGGAAGCGAGAAATCACCCCCCATCCCCCACCCCCCGGGAGATGGCCGTGCTGCAATCCCTTCACCTCCATTCTCCTCTTGAGATTTTGAGCATGCACGCACATATACCTGGTGTGAGTTTAAACCACTGGGTCTCAAATTCAAACTGTGGTCACCTATGTGAGAGTCCAGTGATGTAACCATTATGCCATCTTCTGGTCCCTGGTGTAAGTTTTAAGTCACTGGGTCTGGACTCGCACTGCGGTTGACTATGTGGGAATCTAGCAATGTAAGCATTATGCTACCTACTGGTTCCCTTAGTTGATTCTTGATAGCCATGATTGAAACAATAATACATTGTGGATGTCAAGACTGGTTCACTTTTAGTTCAAGTTCAGCTTCTAGAATGATATCTGAGCCCAGTTTCATTTGTCTCAGGGCCTAGAATCATTGATAGTTACCATCAATCCAGGATTCTTCATCATTTTTTAAAAAGAATTATTTATTTAATTTTATTTATCATTATTATTTAATTTACTATAAGGCATGTGTGCTCGCCAGAGACAGACAGAGAGATAGGGGGAAAGTGAGAAAGCAAGCTGCTAGGTCTGGGACTTGAACAGTGGTTGGCCATGTTGGAGTCCAGTGCCTTAACCACTATGCCACCTGCTGGCCCCCATGCTGCCATTATTAACATAGTGCAGTAAAGGATTAACTCTGCAGGCCTGGGCTATCCAAACCTTGTCCATTCAAGAAAGGTTTGGTCCTTGCAGTTCTCTCCCAAGGCCCTTGAAAATATCTTGCCTGATAAGAGTGCCTTTGTTTACCCAAAGTCTTGGGCCACTTGGGCCAGTTTGGCCTCTGGAGGGGCTAGTGACTGAGCGAGATTAGCTGCGTGGAAATGACCCTCCTATAATGACCCCTAAATAAGAATTCTGGACACCACGGCTCGGATGAGCCTCTCTGGTTAGCAGTACTTCATGTATCATCTCACACATCATTGCTGGGAGAACCAGCGCTGTCTGTGTGACTCAGCAGGAGAGGACAACTAGATGCTCACACTGATCCCTCCCATCGGGCTCTGCCTTATGGGCCCTTTATGCTGAAGTTAGTCTGTCTCCTTTCACAGTAACCAACCGTGACTGCATGTCACAGCTTTCCTGAATTCTGTAAGTCCTTTTAGGAAATCATTGAACTTGGGTGTTGTCTTGGGAACCCCAACTCAATCATGATCATGATCATCATTGGGATAGATCCACCAGAATTACTCTCTCCATTCCACTCTTCAACTAATTTTATAGATACGGAAACTGAGTGATCAGAGAAGATCAGTGAATCATCAAAGGTAGAGCTGGATTCAAACTCAAGTTCCTCTTATTCCAGAGCCCATGTCTTAACCACTAAGCTAAAACACCCTCTCCCTAGCTGGATAAAATGGCTGTCTTTTTCCTGTTTCACATGGTACATCTCTTATTTCCTATCTCTCTCTCACACATTTTTTTTTTTTTTTTTAGTTTTGCCACAGAGCGCATGCACTCTCCAGAGAGGTAGAGGGAGAGATAGGAAGAGAGCAAGAGAGATAAGGAAAGTAAGAAAGGATCCCCCAGGGAGCATGGCCACACCACTGTCCCTTCTCCTCCATTCTCCTCTT